TGGTTAAATCTGGTAAATGAACGGATTGAATTGGTTATGTGCTGGTTTAAAATGGGTTGGGTATAAAATAAATTCAATTCGTTTTTGACTCATTTAATAAACGAGTTATAATAGGTTAAATCATAACCAATTCAATTTTTTTTAAATTCATAAAATAATTAAAACTTTTAATATAAACATATAATAATATACTAAAATACATACACTAATGTACCAAAACACACACACACCCACACTAATACACAAAAAATATACAGACACATATACTAACATACAAAAACTACAAATGCATATAATAAAACACCGAAATACACTATTCACCAAATTACCCGCATAAAGGGTCAATGTTAGGGATGACAGTAGACCGGAGAAAAACGGGTATTTGTCTAAACCCACTTTGTTTAGATTGGAGATGGACTAGACGTATACAAGAATACCCGTATAAACCTGTGCAGGGATGGAGGCGGGGATGGACTTACCCTTACCCCGCCCCATCCCCGTTACTCGTTAAATAAATAAATATATATATATATATATATATATATATATATATATATATATATATATATACTTTGTTTTCAGGAAAGACATTGAAGGCCAGCAATTTTGTTTTGCAATATGAAAAATCACGATGAGTACCTTCTCTAAGATAGAGTATGAGGTAGGAGCTGGAAAGTTCCACAAGTTCCCAAAGGTGTTCCAAAACTTGCAAACTTGATGGAAGAAATGGACTGGCCAGGACCACAGCGAAGGTGAGCTTTGGGATTATGAAACTCCTCTGTTTTACCATAACTTTCAATGTGCTAATTTTTAATGGTTGGGTGATACTCAGTGACATCGGCACAAACACTAGTTACTGCTCTTTTCACAATAGCAATTCTTGTAGGATTTCCCTGTTAACTACTTGCAGAGTGCAATGATCTATTAGTTGATTTATCGTCTTTTGAATTTTCACAAATATTATGCCTTTTAACAGGTATTTGTTTTTCCGTCGACTCCTTTTCTATGCTTGGTAGTTGATTTAAAATTTTGAATTTATTTAGAATTTAAATTATATTGACTTGAACTTGGACTTAGGCTTAGGATTAGACTTGGGCTTTGGCAGGTACGACAGAAGCGGGGACGGGGACGGAGATTATAAATTTACCCGCGGACGGAGATGAGGATGAAAATTATGCCCGTTAGTGGGAGTAGACCGGGGATAGACGAAGATTTTTTAAGTGGGTACAAGGATAAAGACTATACCCCCCGCCCTGGCTTAGATCCATTGACATTCCTAATCAAGGTCAAGGTCAAAGTCAGGGTCTGGTCATGGTCATGTGTCGGGTGTATTAATGTGTGTATATTTTTGAGTGTATTAGTGTGTGTATATATTTTTTAGTATATTAATATGTATATTTGATTTTATTATTTTTGTTTTTTAATAAAAAAATAAATATTCAATTCAATGAGCACTTATTTGTAATTTATTTTAACTTGTTTAATTAAAATAAAATTTATTATTCACTCATTTAAAATTAGTATTAATTAATATATATATTCAACTTATTTATTTATAGACAAATTAATGAATAATGAGTTAAAATTATCATCTCTAATTGCGGTATATTAGCTCAAAAAGTTATTGTGTGCTAAAAATTCAAGAGATAGAGGGAGAGAGATAGAGAGGGGAGGGGAGGGGAGAAGAAGAAGATAAAGTCAATTCAACCTTAATTGTGTGAAGGACCAAGTGGCCCCAAGCCGCTCCACTGCCACGGTTAATTAATCTAATAGTATTTATCAAAAAAAAATAAAATTTAATCTAATAGAAATTCAAATCAACTCATAATAAGTATGTGAGTTGCCAAAGTCAAAAAAGGCCTGAAGGCTGATTTAGTAAGCATACAAAAAACATTAAAAGTCCGAGTCACTGATTACATGAAAATTCAAGATTATTTTATGTGCATAATTAATCGATGATTATGTTCATTCGAATTTGAATTTTTATTCTTAATTATAATATAAAACATGGTCGTGACTATGACTCGTCAAAGAAAAAAAGACATGAATGCAAAACGATATATGATCTGGATGAATTTTTATTAAAAAAAAAAATTGAAGGTCGTAAGAGAGAGACGTTAACAAGTTGATAGAACAAAATATGGTGGACGACTTCATGTAATACCGTGGCACCCACTTGTAGAAGTGGGTGTGCTGTGGATTTATCTTCCTTGTCTCCACTAGGACCACCTCTCTGATTATAGTATAATTTTCTACAATCCACACATATATGCTCATTCATTGAGCCTACAATGTACAGAATGAAACGCTTAAAAAATTCGGTGACGACTGTCTATCTTGGTCTGAGAAAATCCATGAATAGGGTGGTAAACAATCTGAGCTTCTCAGGTTCAGTTTGTTTTGAATTCATTTGTTTAAAAAACGAATCAAATTCGAACAATTTTTTAGGTTGAGTTTGAGCTCACAAATTTTGGCTTACTTGTTTATATAAAAAATAATTGAGTTACTTGGACTCAGTTCAAATTTTTTATTAAAAAAAAATGAATCGAGATTGAACATTTTTTTAAACTCATTTTAAAAAGTGAGTTTGTCAAGCTCATACTCGAACTCGTCGGTTCAGTTCGTTTACCACTCTTATCTACGAATTTCAGGCAGACTAATTCTTACGAGAGCTATGACCTCTCATGATAAATATTAAACGGGAAGAAATTGGATATATAAAATGCGAGAAATATATGAACATTAATTTATGCGATTCAAACCTATAAGAACAGAATTAAATACAAAGTCTTTTAGCCATTAACGATGACTGATGACTCATATTATGGCATACTTCTAGAGGAGAAAATATCCAATACCACCTTTGTACCATGTCAGCTACAATCAACCAATTTTGTTGTTCAAATTAGCCAATTAGCATCCTTATCATTTAAGGGATTTTTACATTTTATACCTCAAAAGATGATAAAATTCTCAGTTTACACTCGATCTGTATAGCATCGATTGTTGTATGTGGTGGTGGTGGTGGTGAAAAGCCCTTTTTGCCCATGGAGAGATCATGTGCTTCACACGTGCATATATATTTAACGGGAATGAGAGACGACATTGGGTTGGGGGACCATGTTGCAACTAATTTATAATAATGAAGCTATAATATGAAAATTTTAACATCTTTCGGAGTACAAAGTGTAAAAACTCCATCATTTAATATACCACATCACCTGTAAATACAAGCTCCTTTAACGCCGTGACCCTCCGTTGGTTTGCCAAATTTCCCTCTTATCAATACCGGTAAAGTGCTCTCTCACTTTTTTATTTTGAATTTAAAATGCCTGCCCAATTTTTCCATTTCTTTTCATTTTCACTACTCTGCCACTTTTTCAATCCTGCAATACTCCATCACCTGGCCTCCTTCACGGCACCATTCGACTACCAATTCTGTGTGTCGTGAGCAATGAAATCAACGTTTTGACCAGGATTTGAGTTTTTTTTCAGAATGTCAAACTAGGACTTGGGTGCTAAGTTTGTGTGAAAATTTTTGTTGGTTGTGGATTGATTCAATGTGCCCATAAAAATATTTGATTATATTACCGAGAGGAGTTTGGTTTCTTGGAATTCTATGATTGGTGGGTATTTAAAAGTGCTTCGTTGTGAGGAAAGTTTTTGCTTTCCTATTATTTGATAGAAATGTCTTCTATATCCTCGTCAAATCGCTGTTACTTGTAACATATTTTGTCCTCCATCATCTGGACAAAATGTGTTCCTTTGATATTGTAAATCTATCAATTCTATAACCTTGAATATATTATACTTTCTTATTCAATGTCATTGATCTTGTTGATTCTCTTATGACAGTACATGATCAACACAAGAGCACCATATTGAATGACTGATTCAACAACATTTTCTTATTAGTTGTAGATTGGGGTACATGCTCAATTGGCCCTACGAATTGAGCATCAATTTTATCTAATTTTTTTTTTGTTTTCATGAATGAACAACTTATTGTTTTTTATTACCCTACCTTTCTCGGGGCATGTTGTTTTTTGGCTTTACTTAAACCAACATGGAGGATCAATGTGTTTGTTCAACATTTGTTCCTTAATGCATTGTGTTAGGTAGTAACGATTGTCCAAATGGAAAATAAGTGAGTGTCATGTGTCCCAAGAAGCTTGTTTGGGGTACAAAATTTCAAATGTTATCGTTGTTGAAGCCGTGAATGCCATCTTTATTTGCTTTAAGCCAAAGAAAGAATAGTTCATACACATTTTTTCTCCTACACATGATTAAAAAAAAAGGGATATGTTTCGACAATCATGAGAAATTTTTATATTTTCAACATTTATAAGTAGTTGGATAAGAGACGGGATTGAGAGGCTATGACTTAATAATATTTTTTGTCTTGTGAAGATTTTGTCTTCTTAAGATTAAATGTTTAAATCCCTTGAGCCATAAAAGTATAATTCGTTAGTACGACAGACCTCAATTATTTGGACGAATCGTTTTTAATTCTTTGGTATGAATTCAAATTCTTATCGAAACGCAAATCTTAATTTAACTGATGTATGAGTTGAAGAATCAGTTCAAATATTCAAAATTTGCTCTTGATTTTACTTGAACTCACGAGTGATATAAGCGTGTCTCTATTACACCAAAAACTTTACCCAAGGGGAAGAAAAACATATTGACAGCTGTGGGATTTGAACCCACGCCCTTTCGGACCAGAGCCTAAATCTGGCGCCTTAGACCACTCGGCCAAACTGTCATGCTTCATAAGTTTCCAAATTAATTTATATTACCTAATTATTTGGTAAGGCTTCGTTTTAACGCAATCTTGATTACTATGACATGCCTATATCCAATTGGCATCTTTACTTTTATCTTTCCAAAAAAGTTATTCTAATCGTGGGCCGCCAATTACTTTATGCAATACGGGTCAATAAATGCCAATATTGTTTATTATTTTGTGTATTAATTACTGCTAAAAAAAAGCACTGAAACCAAGCATTTTCACAGATCAATGCAAGAAGGTCAACAAAGAACATTCAAACTCCTTTGGGTCAAAATTTTATAGAGGTTGACCGTTATTGCAATCCCTCCTCCATTTTATATATATACCTTGATGAGTTTTCAGATCCCATGAAATAACAAAGTAAATATTCATATGAAACAATAGAGAAAAGATCAGATGGCAACATGCTCAGCAAGACATCCCCAACTATTCATCTTTATCTTTTCTTTTTGTTTTCTCTCTCTTGCTTGTGGGAGGGTGGTCACTCCGAACTTTAAGGTTCGAGCTGTTAATCTTGGAGGTTGGCTTGTTACAGAAGGGTGGATTAAACCATCTCTCTTTGATGGCATCCCCAACAAAGATTTCTTGGTTTGTACATGTATATATATATAATCAATTTCATAGTCTATTTGGGTAGAGAATTATCCTATCTTTATCATGATGTTATTCATAAAACTGACTTACCAACTTTCAATCTTCAAAAGGATGGAACTGGGCTGCAGTTTAAATCAGTAACAGTTGGAAAATATCTCTGCGCCGAGACCGGCGGAGGAACAATCATAGTTGCTAACCGAACATCCCCTTCCGGATGGGAAACATTCAAGGTAATTAAGGATACTTTGTTATCATATATAGAAGTAACAGACCCGATTAATGGGACTAAACTGGATGTTATTTATTAATTTTTTTTTTTTTTGCTTTTCGCCTTTTGATTCGAATTCAATGTTTACATCCATTTCAAATTGTGTTTGTGCAGCTATGGAGGATCAATGAGACCAGTTTTCAGTTCAGGGTGTTCAACAAACAATTCATTGGACTGGACAGTACTGCTGGGAATGGGATTACTGTAGTAGCTGTTGCAACAACACCCGGTGGATCGGAGACGTTTCAGATTGTGAGAAAACCCGATGATTCAAGCCGTGTTCGAATCAAAGCACCAAATGGGTTGTTCTTACAGGTTAGCAACCAATTATTTTCTTTGCTTCCTGAAGATAACTAACTATTCTGTCCCCAACTTCGTAGAGATTAAGTACATATATGTTAAAACAGAAAGCAAGCCTTCACACTTAAGCATATGCCACTTTTTGTCATCATAACTGGGGAACAGAGAAAAGGACAAGATAAGGTATGGGCAGCACCATGGGTCTTATTCAAATCATTATCAAAAAATAAGTCGAAAGTAATACTGTTAACTGTTTCTTTTGACATTCAACTTGAAATAACACTGAAGGGGCAAAAATGTTGGATACAAACATATTTTTTGTCGATTTTGAGCTTTAATTAAAGTGGGATTCACTTATTATTTTGAGTAATTTTTTATGAATTCGTGTTCAGAAGAATAACATAGTATATTTAATTACTTAAATTGAATAATAGATGAATGAAAAAATAAGTTTCAAAGTGACACTCTTAGAATGTGAAAATAAAAGTGAGGGTAATGTAAAATTTGACACCAATCTCACTTTGGTGAGCATATATATCCCAAGTTTGTTCTATGGTTTGGGTCCTAAAAAATACCCACTTTTGTGGATAGGAGAAGGCCTAGATGGGCTCGAGTTCGACCACAAATACACGTTGCTAACTCGACATTGAGTGTGGTTTAGATCCAACCTTATCTTTTTTAAAAAAATTCATTTCCTAAATGGGTCCTTAATTTCTTAACCCGAATTTTAATTTTTGCCCTTTTGGAATTCAAAATTCGCACTGGTTTGGAATTTAACTAAGGGTAATTCGTGGTTGAAGGTACAGTCAAATGTGAATGATTTTGAGAGATATGTTGGTGATCGTTGAATGAGTCTATTTAAGACTGTTAGATAACTTATTGAAGTATGTCATGTTTTATGTTATAAAAATTTTCCTCCAATTCAAATTTAAATTTGAATTTGAATTTTGTGTCTGTTCATGAGTGGGCAGACATGCATTGTGTCTTATGGGTTGCATTTGATCAATAGTAATTATTCTGAACAGTCATCTCTATATCTATAAATAACTCAAACCAACTGATTAGGAGAGTCATTACATTCATAAACTTTGTCATTAGCAATGTCCATTTTTAAGAATACAACACACATGTTGATTCTCTGGATAAACAGATTAGAGTGTTACTTTTATTTGCTTAAAGATCATTCTATCATGCGAGGCGAGATTTTCATTAGCACCAGTATGGGGGTGAAATATATTTTAATGACATAGTATTAAACACCAACCTCGATCTAAATATTCAATTTCTGCTTCTGGTCTGAAATCGAGTTAATTTTATATCAATTTTATTTATTGCAATTTTATGTGTTGATGTTTTGTTCTTGTGTGAGATTTTCATTAGTACCAGTGTGGGGATGAAATCTATTTCAATGACATAGTATCAAACATTAACCTTGATCTAAATATTCAATTTCCGTTTTTGGTATGCAATCGAGTCAATTTTATGGCAATTTTATTTTTTGCAATTTTATGTGTCATTGTTTTGTTCTTGTGTGCATTATTTTGTTCTTAATTACATAAATATTTTTTTAGATTGCTGTTTAGTATAATTGCATGTTTTATATCATTCCAAAATCATGGTAAGCAATTTGTCATAATTGATATCATCCTCCCGATTGATTACTACTCCAGCTTTTGATTGCTGAGTCTAGGATGGTTAAGTCAAGCTTTTGATTGCTCTTATATGATGGTTAGCTAAACTAAACAAAATGACATATAAACATTTCAGTTAATGACTCAATAACACACATGATAGGCACCCGACAATTTCTGAGCTTTTGATGTAGTGAACTTTTTCTTATGGTGATTTACAATGGCCGAGTAGGTAAAGACAGAGGAGATTGTTACAGCTGATTTTAAAGGGGATGGTGGATGGAGAGATGACGACCCATCTGTGTTCGTGATGACAATCAGCGGAAGAATGCAAGGCGAGTTCCAAGTGACGAATGGCTATGGTCCGGTCAAGGCATTGCAAGTCATGAGGGTAGGTTGTAGTTAGTTTATCGCACATAAAAAGTATCAACGTTGTTGTCTAACCGGTGCCATTTGACTATCCCGAAAATGCAACAATTTGTTTGAGAGCGTTTCAAATGCCTGTTTTTGAAAAATATTCTTATGTTTTTCAAAATATCCATGACATTTTCTTGTGAACTGATAGTTTTGGATTCAAAATTCTCTCAAATGACAAGAAAGTCAATGGTGTGCATCTCAGGAACACTGGAGCACGTTTATAGTCGAAAAAGATTTCAAGTTCATATCGAGCAATGGGTTAAACGCCGTGAGAATTCCTGTTGGGTGGTGGATAGCGAGTGATCCAACGCCCCCAAAGCCTTATGTTGGGGGATCCTTGCAAGCCTTAGACAACGCCTTCCTGTGGGCACAGTATGTATTTATCTTCATGACCACGAATGTCCATTTTTGATATAGCAAAGAATTTCAGCTTCATCTGGTTGGCTTGTTCTTGCAGGAAATATGGGCTTAATGTTATAATTGACCTTCATGCTGCACCCGGTTCACAAAATGGTTTCGAGCACAGCGCATCCAGAGACGGTTCTCAGGAATGGGGACTTACCGATGACAATATACAACAAACAGTTGCAGTTATAGATTTCTTAACTGCTAGGTATAATCATGAATCAATTTGTTTTGGTACCGCGTTTTTTAAACTTTTTTATGCAAATAACGTAATTTCTATCTTGTTTTCCAATCTACTGTTGATTTACTAGGTATGCGAAGAACCCAAGTCTCTATGCAGTTGAGCTGATCAATGAGCCTCTTTCACCTGGTGTATCTCTAGAGAACCTGATCAAATACTACAAGGGCGGATACGACGCTGTCCGTAGGCATTCTTCCACAGCTTTTGTGGTGATGTCAAACAGATTAGGACCTGCTGATCCCAGAGAGCTCTTCTCTCTTGCCAGTGGCTTGAGCGGGTCTGTTATTGATGTCCACTACTACAACCTGTTTTCTGATGTTTTTGACAACATGACTGTCCAGCAAAACATTGAGTTCATCGACACCAACCGTTCAGCGCAGCTGAGCTTTGTCACCACATCAAATGGACCTCTCACTTTCGTTGGTAAGTTCCAAAATTCATTTATAGTGGACTACCTAAGGTGTGTCAATTTTTGACATTAATATGACACCACGTCAGCTAATTTCAATTCAAACTCAAAAACACGACCAACTAACACAAATAAGAATCGGATCATGATAGTGTCAATTTAGGGTTATCTAGTAACCGATAAAAACTCGAAATAAAACGACCGCAACACGTAGTTACCCCTACTCAAACCCAACTTCATTCACATTGGTGTAATCTTGCAGGGGAGTGGGTAGCAGAGTGGCAAGTTGGTGGGGCAACAAAACAGGACTATCAGAATTTCGGCAGGGCGCAATTACAAGTGTATGGGCAGGCAACATTCGGGTGGGCTTACTGGACTCTAAGGAATGTGAACAACCATTGGAGTCTCGATTGGATGATCAAGAATGGTTATATCAGGCTTTAGATTTTCTTTCAGACTTTCCCATTTTTCTGATTTAGTAAAACCACTGAATTTCACGTACCCAATTGTTACCATCAAGAATAAATGCTTTGACATTCCTCTAATCCCAAGTAGCTCTTTTGTCACTCTACAATCTTAGAAAACATACTAGTGATCGAGTGTAAAACTTCCTAGAAATGAATTATTAAGAGTATATTACATATATTATTTGCAAATTATGATTTTTATGTCAATTAAGCCTCTAAACTTTTTTTTTTTTTTTGTAGCAATTGAGTTCTTGAACATTCTAATTGTGTCAATTGAGCTCATTTATTTGTCTCCGTTTGATTTTTTTAATAGAAAGTGGCGAAGTGTGCCACTTATGTGACACAAATGAGTTAGAGTAAACTACATATATAGCCCTTATTCTATGACCTTTGTATCAATTAAGTCCTTGAACTTTTTTTTTTGTGTGTCAATTGAACCCGCGGAATTCTCTAATTGTGTTAGTTGATTCCGTTTACATTTTTGTGTCATATGGTCGTGTGAGTGACACATTCTAATGGAGACAAACAAAATGGCTGAATTGACACAAAAAAAAAGTTTAGGGGTTTAATGACACTAGAATCATAGTTTGAGGGCTATTTGTACAGTTTACTTAATTATTAAAAGTAAAACTTGATTTTTTTTTGGGTCAAAAAATAGAACTTAATGAAATTTTTTCCGACAATTGTTATTTGAACTTAATTTGTTCATCTAATACATAATAACTATTGGATAGGTAGCATATTTCAAATAATATTAGGACTCACTCTCAATTTAATGATAGTAATTAATTAGGTACAAATTAGGCCGACTTAGCATTTCTCTAAATCAGGTGTAAGGAGGTACACTAACTCCCAGCACATATGTGATCCCATCGAACAGATTGTGCCTTGCTAGTAGTTCAGAATTCACCCCCCCCACCTTGCCGGACGCCTTGATTGCTCCGTCGCCGCCGTGTCCATTATACAGTTATCAATATTGTTACATCACTCGTTACTGTAATACCATTATTCAAAACCACTTGTTTTCTTTATTTTTTTGGCTGTCATTCATTAATTCCTACCAAAAATTAATTTCTTTCATCTACTTGCATAACTTCATTGATCGACTTGTGGATTCATAAATTCTTTATTATTATTTTTATTAATTATTTCCTTTAAAATAGTTAAGAGGAAATGTAAGGTCCATTTTGACACATCTCTGTGACATGGCACCAGCATTACAAGTAGAAATCAAAAAGCTAAAGAAGGGACAGAGTTCATGTTCTAGCAGTCGCATAGGTCCAAGCAGTCTTGTTTGGTGTCAAAGCAATATATGTTATTGCAGCAACAGTACTGTACTTTGCCTTTGACTGCACTTCCCACGCATTCTTTCACATCGACTATTTTTTCTCCCCTAATAGGAGCCACCTTCAGCTTTGAAATGCTAACATCAGTTTCACCCTCGCCGTTGTCAATCCTACCTGTAATTGGCACCAAGCAAAAATATAAAGTTTAGTCAAGAAGTGAATGTGTATTTCTTTACCATATAAAGAAGCTGAACTTCTCATGCTCAACATAGAAATAATATTACGAGGATGCCAATAAATAGGGTAATGATAATGTGTGATATCGGACAATGATAATATGTATAAACTCATTTGCTTAGGAGGAATTTTGTGAATACTGGAAGAGGGGATAGAGAGAGAGAGAGAGAGAGAGAGAGAGGAAGGAGAGTCGTATAGAAACTTACATTCACGAAAACTCGACAAGATAAGAATGACAACACAGAAGAGAGCTGAGTGAGCACTGAGGAATTTCGTAGTAGCCATGAGAGAGAGAGAGAGAGAGAGAGGGGGGGGGGGGGATTATGTTAAAATAGGTCAAGATGTTAGATTTTGTAGTTACTTCAATGCTCTTAATTTGGTACGCAACATAAAAGGCTTCTTCAATCTTCATAATTCAATATGAATTCTCACAATCTAGAATCATGGAGCAGTATGATTAACAAAGTATTGAAATACATCTCAATTAGTTAATAAAAAAATATATTACTGAAAAATCGTCAACTGACTTAAAAATCTGAAACTTTTTTTTAAGTCTATTTAGTATTTTCCAAAAATATATTGAAATCATGTGTGTGTGTGTGTGTGAGAGAGAGAGAGAGAGGGAGAGACTGCAGTCAATATGACATGTTTTTACAACTTTCATAAGATGGTAAGGCACTAAATTATTTCACATAATATCAAAATAGTAGTTGTATGAATTTTCATTATGAAATATGAACGAATATCTCATAATGGCTTAAATAAATTCTTACAATCTTGCATCATTAGGTAACGTCGAATATGGGAGTTTTTGCCCAAACTAATACTTCGTTTAAAAATAATTTTCAATATAACATTAGTGTAGTAGTTGACATGTCAACAAGTAAATTTGAAAAGTGCTTAAAACCATCCCCTAAACGTTTCCAAAGAAATTTTATTCACAATGATACTTGGAAAAGTGTATAAACTCCTCTCTAGTTATGATGTTGAGTCATCACATTCCAAGTCATAAACTCGTCTCTCTCTCTCTCTCTCGGCTTATTTAGTTGCATTTCTCCATCTTTCCACCCATTAATTATGACACATTATCTGATGATTCTTTGTGAAAATTTTACATGTGCAACAAATGGACCTTTTGTTCTGTTAGGGGTGAAATGGTTTTGCTATCCTATGCCTTTGAAGGAGAAAGGCAAATAAAATGTTTTGTTGGGATAGTATCATCACTGCAACCCCTATTCGACATATTAATTACATCAACAACCAAAAGAATAGCAAAGTTTTAAAGAAGCTACTCGTGCCTAATGGTCCTCTGACTTATGTTGTGTTCAACTTCAATAGCTATGCCACAACACAGTACCATTGCAACATACTCGGAATGAAACTTATAATTAACCCACACATGTGACTGTAGGAGTGAACACTGTTGCAAAATACAAAACTAAGATCGTATAAATCGCACTCAAAGCAAAGATTATATATATATATACTAGTAATAACCCGTGTCTGAAGGCTCTATATAATACTAAAATGAGAAAAAATGAGAATGCATTAAAAAAAAATTGAACCTCAAACCAAGCATTAGGTGAATTTAAATCAATCTAAGCTTACTATTTTTCAAATAATTTCAATAGAACTACAGTTCAACCATTCATTTAATCAGGCTATCAAAGTAAGGGAAGAAAAGAAAGAAGAAAAGAAAAGAAAACTACTCCTTAGTGTGGCGAAATCAACCTGCAGAAAATAAAGAAAATGAATTAGTCACATTCACGTCGCAATAAATTGGACAAAAAGGAAAGGAAAAAAGAAATTAATGGTAATTCAGTTGACTAAAGTTGGCATACATATCTAGAGCAATTTATTTTCACATGTTTTGGTATTACCAGTTCAACAATGCATTTAAGGTCAATAACAAAAACCTTTTAATTGTTTTAGTTTCAAGCATCAAATGAAGATATATGATGATTGTTAGAGAATGCGATAATAAGAACTACTACATCCATGCATACATGGACCACATAAATGTCTTACTGTGCATACTTACTTGGAAAGTTTGCAATGAAATCCAAGTAATGACATGATTCAAATTTCATATTTTATTAGTATACCAAATCGGAATCTTAAATATCTAATCTACAAAGCTAATCAAAGATATTAACTTTTAAAAGCAAGATCAAAATCATCATTTGATGATCTGAATCCGGTCAAGAACACGATTCCACCAATATACATTTTGGAAAAAAGAAAAAAAAAGCACGTCACACAAACCAACTATACAACAAAAGGCATTTGACTCGAAAAAACATGTTCCACAACTAAACAAAAGCTAATGGATTTTGAACGGTAAAGAAGCATAGGAAACATACCAAAAGAAAGGCAAAATAATCAATAGGACAATACCCAACTCTTTAACGCAAAACAAATGCAATGAAGCATGTCAACTACATGCCAATAGGGAGAAAATATATACTCAAAAAAGGAATTAAACAAAAAGATTAATTAAAAACATGAACTAACCACAACAAATGTACCAAATGAATAATCAAAAAAGTAAAAAGGGGAAGTGCATGACCTCTGCAGGACTCACACCCGTAATAAAACGTTTTACTACTGAACTTCAAAAAGAAATAGGTCTCCAGGAAGCAAACACGAACTGCAAAGTACCAACTATTAGTTAACAATCAGCATTAAATTGTTTGGATAGCTTATGTCTATTCATGATCTACAGTTTCATATCTGATAAATGTTTCATCAAGAGTGCAGGGCCTGTAGCATGGTGAAATCTGCCTTCCAAGGCACATTAGTGTGGGGATTTCAAGTTAGACTAACCAAATAGTCTTTCTACGATTAGACCTGTTCTGTTGTGAGACAAATAAAATTTATAAATTTTAGAAGTTTACTTTTGTTTAATCAATGAATATGCTAGACTGACAAAAAAAAACAGTACCCAAAAAAGGGTCCGCATGATGCTGCGGTGAGATGGTGAGAAAAATGAAAATTAACGTCATTTGGTCCTATTTTTAGGTCGGCCTACTATTACCCTAAGTCAATAGTTGCCTCCTAGACACTGACTTCAAATGGAAGGATGTTTCTTGTGACATCATAAGAATTTACACACATAAATATATATTTTCACCCCACAAATTACTCTACTTGTAAATGTAATCCATTGTGAGCAGAATGCTTCAATATAGGGATTCATCCAAAAGGGGTGGTGAAAATCAGAGCCTACCAAAATTCTCCGAAACAAAGGTTCCCATCAGCAAGATAACAAATGAGAATGCCACAGGATAATAACCACACAGTTCCCATCTTTGAACTTTAGAAACATTTTGGATTATACATAAGCACCTAATTTACCACACAAATATACCACTCGCCGCAATTTATGAAAGTTTGGTTCTCTTCGTAACGGCCCATATCCAAGAAGTGTGGGAATTTTTATGTTCAAAAACTGGAACAAAAGAATCACTACATATCCATAAATAGCCAAGCCTCATGAATATGCAAAAAAGTTGTGAATGCATAAGCCTCATGAATATACAAAAAGGTCCAAATACACTTGCCCCAAGCAATCTAAATCACAAACAGTAAATAGATACATCATAGCCAAGCCAAATTCACCGAGAGAGAGAGAGAGAGAGAGAGAGAGAGAGAGAGAGAGAGAGAGAGAGAGAGAGAGAGAGAGACCACATCAATAACAAAAAAAAAAAAATAGATCAACTAACTGAGAAAAAAGAATCAAAAAAACATACCTGACAGCGGCTAGGGACATTTGGTTACTTCTTCGGCATTTGGTCGAACACCTCCTAGGCATTGTGTCGAACCCTTTCCATGTGTCCTCTATGTGTGCTGAGCAGCGGAGATAGATAGAAGCAGAGAGAGATGGAAATACAAACATACCTGGTAGCGGTGTTGAAGTGAGATTGAGATGGAATCAAGCAAATGGCTTTTCTAAAGTTCCAAGTAGATTCATGTCCTGTCCCAAATCTAAGATAAAAAAAAAATGAACATAAAAAAATCACAAAGAATAAAACAACTGAAGATGTGTGAAAGTCGAATATGTGTGTATGCGTGAGTGTCCATTTTTGTGTGTGTGTGTGTCGAGTTTGGTCGAATTTATCTGTGTGAGTGTTGTAGGGGGAAGGTAAGAGAGATGGGTAGGTGGTGGGGGATTGGAAGAGAGAGATTTAGAATAAAGAGATGGAGTACTTGGCTGGTGTACCTACTCCGGCGACTTCTTGTCACTGCTTGCTTTTGTTGGCGGTGGCTGGGCAGCAACGGCGTAAGGCAACGAAGCAAAGCAATAAAATGCTTGGCCCTTCCAGTCGCAAATGGGTGTCTAACGATGTGCCTTCCACAATGTACTGAGCAGCTGTTGGATGTCGCTGAAGGTGGTTGGGCAGAGGTGTAATCAACAACGAAAATCAGAAATAAAGAAAACGTTGGAGAGAGAGAGAGTGAAGCTTGAGATATCAGGCGTGAGATTCGTTTTGGGTATGAAAGGAAATCACAGAGCCCACATTCTGATAAGGAAGGAAGAGATCGCTGAATTGGTGAGTCCATCAGGGAGATTTTGGAGATGAGTTTGGAAGACAGGGAAAGACTGACCGGAAGAGAGAGAGAGAGCCATGATTTAGCAAATTTTGTTAGGCGGGAAACAAAATTTAGTACTTATTTTAGGGAGCAAAATTTGTTGAGATGAACTGAACCTATCTTTACCTTAAGAATTTAAACTTCGTTTTACTTTATTATATAGATACATTAAGTATAAAAAAAATCATTTCTAGGCTCACACTTGTGATGTATGGTTAGTATAGTGGTCATTTAAGGATGCAACAATGCAAGCCAGAGTATCAGAGATTGGCAAAAGGTAAAAATAGGTGTACGTAGGAAGGCCACATTTGGGTGGGCTTATTGGCCATATAGGAATACTGGAGTGTGAGGCGGATGATGAATATAACAGCTTGTACAGCTCTAAACTCCAATTTTGGCCTCGATGCCATGCATACACTTTTAGAACAAATAAACCTCAAGTAAGATTCTAATTTGTGTGTGTGTGTTTTTCTTTTGGGGGGCGAGGGGGGTAAGTGCTTATTTTTATAGTTAATTAGGTT